CCCTCCCCCACCTCCCTGCGACCAAGTACGACCACGTTTGGGTTCCCCGCGATCCGCAAACGTGCCCTGCCTGCCATAGTTACACTTAATCGTGACATACTTGATCGACGTCAAGCGAAAAAGCGTTCACAAGCATTCCGCCACTCAAATCGGACGGATATTCGACATGTGGTAAGACGTTGGGAAACAGTGAACAACCGAACTCGTCCAATATTGGCACCTAAAACATCCAAAACTTTCTCAAAAACTGCGCACCAATCGATAAATCACCACAGACCTTCTGTGACGAATCCCGTTCGCCAGACACCGTACAATTGTTCACCATCAAACAGTACATGCTACTATCATGAGCTCCATAGCTACATTTCCACGAGTGAAACACCACATCGCCAACACGTATCTTTCTTGAAAATCAATAAATCAATAAATGCTCCGAGATACATAATTGCTGATCTTATTGAAGAACAATGATCCTCATGAAACTCACCCACTGACTTTCGGACCATATCGTCCATCCTTGAAGACAGTGTATTCGCAGTCCGGATCGGGAAATCTATGCAATGTAAATTAGTTGTCGCTTGGAAAAAGCCCTCCTTGATATTTCCGTCAGTTCTTGTTGAATTAGTTCAAATCCATTACTACTACTACTATTGAATTTATTAGTCCGTCAATTAAATATTGCATACTCTAGTTCGCTGCGGAGGGGGCGTGTCAGGCAGTATGAGTGTGCCACGGCGCCAAACCCGTTCTCTGCCAGTTGTTGAAGCGGGTATGCGACAACAATTGGTAGAAAACGAGTGATACGAACGATATGATACAGTCTTGTCACTTGCTCGCTTCAACAACTGGTGGAGAACGGGTTTGGCACCGCGCCAAACTCATCCCGCCTGACACGCCCCTTCGTTCGCAGCGAACTAGACTATAATAAAACTGGAGACTATTGGATGGGTTGGAGAAGAGTATCACAGGTTTAACATTCACTACCCCACTCCGAAATTCAGGCCAGTTTTCAATAGAACTATTTCTCCTGAAGTGGAATCGACTTCAGTTTTGTCATACGCGGTAGTTACGCCCTACCAACAAGAGGTCACTCTTGTCTGGCGCGCGAATACTTGTCACATGCGCTGTGGGAGCTGGCGCTGACACTGATTGGTATGCCGGCGCCTGGAGCGTGGGCGCCAAATGCTGTCGTTCTAACCATAAGTATATACGATATTCGTGCTCAACGTGTCAAAAGACCTTATCTAAGACAGAAGGCTTGAGGGAGAATCTAGGCCAAATCTTTCACTAGAAACTTTCACTAAAATGTTGGTGAAAATGTTGCCTGAATTTCGAAGACTAGGGCATGAGTGGTATATATTAGGTTGTTCGGAAAGGAATGCGCGTTGACTTTGTCTATTTATTTCTCTTCTACTATAGGAGATTTTTCAAAACAGTTTTGTCCATTAGAGAGAGGTTTTTATTGCGCATCTTTTGATATATTTTTTCTATGTCTACCTTGTTTTTTAGAGAAAAAAAGTTTAGAAAATGCTCGACCAAAAATTTCGAATGCGAGCTTGTATGTGGTAAGACTTCAAGCAAGTCCTAACGACGCACTTGGGTGGACCCTAATAATGACCCACTCGGCTCACAGGGGCAGCGGGCGGACCTAGCGACACACTCGGCGAGAAAACTGGCAAAAAGAGGCTCTTTTGACCTACATTTCCTCTCCGGCGGACCTAACGACACACCCGAGGGGAAAAGTAGTGAAAGAGGCTCTTTTGGCGAAGTTTTTGCGTACAGTTGGCAACAAGTCATTGCTAGTAATGGAGATTATCTCTTAGATTGACCTTGTTTAATTTCGTTTTTATAATAAAATTTTTTTTACACTCAACGCGCATTCCTTTCCGAAAAACCTAATAGTTCGCAGCGGACGAAGAGGCGTTGCGGGAAGG